AAGGTCTCTGGTGGTTCCGGCAGCCTGCCGGAAAGGTCTTGGTGGTTCCGGCAACCTGCCGGAGAGGTCTTGGTGGTTCCGGCAGCCTGTCGGAAAAGGCTTGGTAGTTTCCGACAGGCTGCCGGAAAGGTCTTAGTGGTTCCGGCGCTGTGCCTGCAGAAATTTGAAAGGTTTGTTCACTGAATGAATTCAATTGTAGAATCCTGCCAGGCTTGACTACTCTTTATCAGCAATCATTGGTTGGTGGGTCTGTGGATGTGTTCATTGCTATAGTTGAAGTAGATTCCAATACTATTTATCATTTGTGATCACTCTTCAACATCTTCAGCGATCATGAGATGTGTTTTTCACAGATAGTGCGCATAGCTTTTCTCGAATGCATTTGATGTGTGTGTGACTCTAAGTTTATGGCCCTTCTCAACGAGAGCTTCTTCTTCATCCATCTCAACCTCGGCACTTGTTCACGTCCGTGGAATCTTTTTGGACTGAGAAGGCCTTGCAACAAATTTACGACATGGAGATGGATGAAGCGGATGAGGGCCGCATGAGGCTTGGTCCTGCGGTGAACTTGGCAAAAAGCAAGGGTGTTGTGCGCTTGAAGGCCCAATGCGCTTGCCATGAGAAGGAATGTCGGCTTTTGCGAGCACATATGCACGCAGCTGGCATCCCTTGCATTTCCTGGTCTCCCATGGGGCGTGGGGAAGGAGTATCTGGCGCGGACTTTAAATTCTTTGTTGCCTGGGCTGCGACGAGACGATCTGTCAAGGATTCAAAGGGGTTTTGCATGGTTCTGCAAGTGTCAAAGTGCGCTGTGTTTAGGTTGGTAAGCCAACAGCCAATCAATGTGATTGTCGTGTGATTGTTGAGATGTCATTCTTCACCCGTGCCAGGAGGTGGTCCTGATTTGGGAGTGCTCAGACAGGTATGATCCTCGTGTGATGGAATCTTTCCTTGGAGACCTTTACATCATTTGGCAGGTTCGGCTCAACTCCTCGGATTTTGCTGCTGTTGCGAACCGACGGAGGATGTACGGCATCTGCCTCCTGCGCGAAGAGGCTTTGGGTCGATTCGGGAGCTTGGACAATGTCATTCCGTTGTTCTTTCGCACTAGAGAGAGCTTTGGTGCCCTGGCTTGTTCAGTGTTAGGCTTCAGCGGCTTCAACGTCTTACGGCATTGGTAGACCTAATAGACCAGGACAATACGCGCTCTGCAATTGCTAGATGCGTCATAACACATTTGTGGCAAATGAATTGACCATTTGGCTGTGAGCCAAGGTTTCGACGCCGCAATCCGAACAGCTTCGCAAACAGACTTGGATGCAGACCTCAGCTGGGCAATGGGAAGACCAAAAAGCCGCGTTACTCGGAATGATATATAAGAAGATTCAGGAAGATCAGAAAGATCAAAGTTATCGCGAAAACAACTCCACCAACGCCACCGACCCTCACCCACAAAGACAAAGCGTATACGGCTTTTGTATTCTTCTGGAGGTACTGGTCTTCCGAGATTACGGATCATTTTATGGTGCATCGCATTGCAAAACTTTTGCCAAAACAGTTTTTGTTTTTGATGTGTATTTGCAAATTGTCTACTTTGGGCCTGTCTCCAAATCTGACCCCAGAACATCAAACAAAGTTAATTAAAACCATGTGTATATGAGATTTGCATGCTGATGTTCTGGGGTCAGATTTGGAGACAGGCCCAAAGAAGCCACACACCCACCCCCCAAACAAATTTAGAACCCACCTAAATAATGCCTGCGCTGAGTGGCCAATGCCGATGTTTCGGTCCGCCTCACTATGATGGTCAGGGCAAAGAGGCAAACATGTTGTTGTTGAGGGACAGGGACAAGAGATGTTCGAGTCTGACTTTGCGAGCCATACCAATACGAAGCTGGAGAGCAAATATGTGTAGACTGTGTAGAGTTCCTTTTGGTTTCGGGCTTTTTGGCATGTGTTTAAAGCAATTTGAGCACCAGGGGTGGGGCTTGAATTTGACAGTACAACAGTATATCTAAACAAAACAAAAAAACATATTTGACCATGTGCGTGCTCTATCTCCAGATTGGCAAGAGTTGGACTTCGAGTGAAGTTGAATGCCCCATGCAACACCTTTGGACTCCCGGACCCTCCCACAATTTGGTCATGTGATGTCATGTGGACACAGAGTGAATACTCGCCAGTGCCACGCCTTTGCCCAAAAGCTCCTATTATATTTTTTGTATAGCTTCTTATTTCTTAATTGATCGTGAATCGTGAACTTTTGTCAGCTCCAATCAGTTGTCGTCCTGAGGCTCATAGCATGAAGCTGGCAGATGTCAAAGCTTCCCAAAACCCTCACTTGGCGGTTTTGACAGCAAAGGAGTTGGAGTGGGTAGAGAACTATGAAGCAGACTATGGGCCGTACTATGCGTACAATTTGTCGCAGAACCCAAGAGTCATCGGCATGAAGTCGACAAGGGATGCACTCGGCAACCCCACCTTGTTTGCTCTGCTGAAATCCGGAGGTTTGATCTGGTACAATGACCGCTTCTACACCCCATCCGAGCGCCTTGGCCCAAACCCCTGTTCAGCCACAGTTCTCATGTCCCAGAGGAGATGCTCAGGCTCCTCACGTCACATCATCGTTCAGTATTCCCTGTCGCCACAGGACTCGCAGTGCCATGAATGGTCAAATCGGCAACGGTATGACGGTGGCAGTGTTTGGCGTCTTTGTGTAGCTTTGTCACGAGTGGGTCGATCGATGAGCTCTTTTTTAAGTGTTCAGGTGAAAGCATTCAATATAGGCAGTTAAAATCTAAGTGCCGTAGCTTCAACTAGGTGGGCGCTGCAATAACTTTTGGTTTCTGGGCTGTGGTTCTTTTGTTTTATCATTTTACTATTAGCGCCGCGCAAGCGATTACATAAATCAAATCCCGGTCGCAAAGGTATGTGAGTGATAGATGTTGCAATGTTGCAACTGTCCTGGGAATGAGTGGCGGGGACCGGGGAAACCATTGCCTTGTTTTAGCGTGTCGGATGACCCCTTGACGGATGCAACTCCCACATACTTCCACTCAACAGCCACAACGGCCCAGGTTCATCACCGAACTCTTTTGTGCCTATTGTCAGACCACAGAAGAGCTGATTTGGTCAGCTGCTGATGCCGAAGTGTTGCCTCCTATGAAGCTTGCGCGCTGGAAGTTGCAGCCGGAAGCAAAACAGAAGGCTACCGCCCATCGTGCTGTGCCAAAGCCTAAGCAGTCTACGAATTCTACGAAGCCTTCGAAGAAATCCTCAAAGATTGTGAAAGCGAAGGTCGGCAAGGGTGGCAAAGTGATCAAGAAACCTGCGTCCGCCTCCGCCTCCTCATCAAGCAAGACGGCGCAAAAGTGAGAGATTCTTAGGGCACGTGCGCAGCACGCATTTTCCCTTTTGAGTTTTGTGCTTGCCTTTGGTGGCGGTGTTGTAATGTCGTAGCTGCGGCATTCTTCGAGGGGTCGGATGACTTTTACCATCCGAGAATGAAAATGTCCGTCACCACTTGGCAGTTTGGCAATGAATGGTACTATGGAATGATTCATGTTATTGATAAATGGCAATGCTCAAATGGTTTCTTGTTCGATTGTTCCAGTGCTTCACTCTGTTCACTTGTCAGTGAGGATTCGAAGTGTTGTTTCGTACCATTCATGGACAAACTAAGCAATATCGAAAGCTATTCGCACAGTGGGATTCAAGTTTTGCTAACGCGGGGCCGTTCATAAGTTCATAAACATTTTGGACGTTCCTGCTGGCATAGAGTCGGCGTGCAACCTAGATCAGTCCTGAGTCGTCGAAGAGCTGCAACAGTGTATGCTACGATTCTACGATTCTACTATATTCTCTGACAGAGTCCTTTGATGCAAATTTGTATATAATATGGCAATCCGGTCGTGTTGTTTCTTGTCAGGCTCTTCACACAAGGAACTGAAGTTGCACAAGCCGTAACCATTACTGTACTAGTATACACTAATCAATGGTGCTGTTTGCTATGGTCGTTAGCCAGGATGAATATTCAGCCGGCCAAGCAAGCAATGCCATCGCACTGGCCCTTGGGGCTCAGATAGAGATTCAAAGGCGCTTCAACACCAATCAAGAGAACCTCTTTGGTTGGAATTTGCTTAGCCACTATTCCCAGGCAATCATTTGTGGAAGGCAAATCTATTCAAGAGGTCTGAGGTCGGAGGTTCTGAGGCGCTTTTTCAATTGCTGTCATGGGAGAGTCGCCAAAGCAATGTCCTGATGGCGTTGATTTGTTCCTTGCGTAAGAGTTAGCCGAGCCATAGCGGGCCTCTTGGGGTGCTTGTGGGGATGGAACTTGCTGCAATCTTTTGGCTCACATTCAATGTATAGAGAGCCATCGGAACGGAGCTAATCTGATGCACCTTGAGAGGGTACAGTTTTACTGTTTACATACAAGAAACAAACGCAATGCAAGTCAAATCGCCCAGGTCCCAGGTCCCATGTCAGACGTCGTGACGTCATGTTTTCCAGTTTTCCACTAATTATGTTGCGAAATTCTTGTGTACCCTGTGCACCAGTTTTGCGCATTCCTTGGATTTCAACTGCGCGTCAATGGCCGGGCTAAACTCGCAGTGGGGTCCTTTTGAGGAAGGCCCAGTCAGCATAGAGGATCGCATCACTTGTAAAGGCCGGGAGCGGCAAGATTGTGTGTGGCAAATCTACGTTAGGGAGGAGGGTGCCACGGCTGACCTGCACGACAAGTATGGCGACTTGTCTCAAAACAAGTCGGAGCTGGGATATGTAGGCAAACCTTTTCAAAGTAGGGGATGCGGGGATGGCGGGGTGCAGATTTTGCAATAGTGCTGAAAAGCTTTGGCTGGCTGACCCAACTGCAGTTGCCACCGATCTGTGAATAGAAAATACTTGTGAAGGCGCTTGTAGATTCGATCACTTTGCCTCAGCCTCAGGACGGAGAGTATTCTACCGCCATGAACTCAACAACAGGAACGAAGTCAGCCACCGGAACGAGCTGAAGCAAATGCTGCGTGAGCACGGCTTCGCGCGTGGTGTGTCTTGATTGTGGTTTGGAGTTTGGAGATGCGGTTCATACCTTGCAATGTTACTTTTGTCTTCTCGTTTGTGGTGTTACTTAATTTGTGGATTCGCGCATGTCACTGCGTCTTTCCATTCTTCTTATTCATTCGAACCGCGCACCGTCAGACGAGGTGCGGGGATCTGCTTGGGTGATCATGAAGCGACGTCCTGGAGCTACAGAATGCTCTCTGAGTTGCAGTGGTGTGAAGGATGGAAACATTGAGCTTCATTGCATGACCTCCGCAACCTTGATCGAAGCGCTTTATAGCTGCGTGGATGACTATCTAGAGAGCATTGGCAAGAAGTGCATCACGGACTTGAATGAACAGGAGACACATTTGGTTCTATAGAATCTATGGAAGGGTTTTCTTCATTCGCTGCCCTTTATGGTGATATGAAATAGTAATTTGAAGTATGTATATATATAATATATTATATGCATATACACTATTATTATACTTTATTACCTATATCATATACCTGAACACATATTTGTCTGGGCAGTTCTTCCTATAGCCCGATGTCTTTCCAATGAGGAGACCGCAGCCTTCCATGCGACCCAAATCGGGCGTTCTGTCAAAGAAGGGGTGAGCCAAGTGGTCGTGTTCCACGAGAAAACACCTTCTGTTCAAACCTTAGTCAAAAGAAACACTGATGACTGTGACTGACTGACGAAGGTTGATCTGCAACACACTACTGTGACGGGGTCAGCTATTGCAAAGCATTTGGTTTGTAGAATCTAGAACACTCAGCGTGTCATGTTTTGGCACCTTTATCCATATTCGCCATAAGTTCGTAGCAGTTCTTGCAGCTTTTGACTTGGCTGTCTCAGGATGTGTTGGAATGGCTCAAAGATTGGGGAAACCTATTCAACAAAGCTGCGTCAACTCCAAGTTTTGTAGAACATCTACAGGCACTTACCAAGTTGGAGCAGGCTTTGTCGGTGCACCTGACCACATACACACCAATCATGACTTCCAGCAACCCAAACTACGAGAAGTGCGTTCGCGAGTTTATAGACCAGAAGTTTCCTGGCCGATTTGCTTCTTACCGGGAGTATCACGCAGCTTCTATCTTTCGAAAGCGCATGGTGGAGCATGACTTGTGGGATGAATGGCTGGAGTGGTGCAACCGACATGTTGATTTCCAAAAAGCATCAAACATGGATGCTGGCCAAATTTACAAGATGTGCAGTCTCATTACCAAAAAGTTCTTGGGTATGTCCAAGCCGTGCAAAGTGGAGAAGACAAATGGCTCTACTACCACCGGCAGTACTCTTCGGTACAGTTGGGGAAGCCTTGCATTTGGGAGCATCAATCATCAATCATTGTTGTGTTTCAAACTACTTGTTCTGTTGTGGTCGTGTGGTCGGTGTTTGTTTGAAGTTTAAGGTCCAATTGAGCAAAACACGGAAAACGAAAACATACAGAACAACGGAAAGACGGAAAGCTAGTAAGACATATATTAACTCAATATATATATATATATAACCCCAGCTGCAGCGACGCGCCCCAGGTAATGTCACTGCTCAAATTTGCATTGCCCGTCGTGCCAGATGAGAAGGTCCCGCTCCTCCCTTCCAAGATCGGTGCTTGGAAGGTGCCTCATCTTTTGGTGAAGCCGGGCGACGCGGAGAAGCTTGACATCTTCTTGCTTCCCATGGCGGAGTCAAAACTGTCAAAGCTTCCGGCTGCAATGGAGGCGGCCAAGAAAAAGGCAGAAGAAAGGCGAGCAGCGCAGGAAGCAAAGCGGCAAGCTTCTGGCAAGGCCAAAGCCAAAGGAAAAAGCAAAGCAAAAGCTTCGAAGAGGGGCAGGGAACAGGACACCTGTGAATTTGATGCGGAGGTGGTTGATGACCAAGGCAACACGCGCGCAGCGCTTTTTGCAGATGACATCTTCCACAGTATCAACTACACGCTCGAGGGCATCAATGAAAAGATACACAAGCGACCGTGCATTGAATTTGCCATGGACATGGCTTGCTTGTTTTGCCTCCACGGTGATCTTGAAGCAGCTGGCGGTGAAAAGTGTACAGGATGGGTCAAAGCCAGAAAGCACATCAAGGCCTACCTCAACAGAACGCATTCTCTCCATGCGCGGCAGTCAGACCCAGATGTTCTTCCTGTTCCTGGTCCTGGTGAATCCGCAGGGAATGAGGAGAGTGAGACAGGCGGGGTGAAGACAGAGATCATGGATGATGAAGAAATGGATGCCGACCTGTATCAACGAGTGAGCGCCATTCTACGATCATCTTCCTTGAGTCACCTTTCGGCATTCCTGGATGACAATTTCAATTTCTCTGATGCGAGTGGCTTGGCTTGCTCTGGTCTTGATATAGTTCATTTGCTCCTGCACCCTCGACTTCTCTACGTTTTGCGCGCTTAGAATAAATCACTAGAATCTAGTGCAGGCAAACCTTTGCAGTCACGGCCATTCTATCCGACAGTCCGTTCTTCCCTACTGAAGGTGTTGGAAAGACACATGAAAAACGGAGATCCAAATATCAGCTATCAGGTGTGTTTCGGAGACCATGTGCCCAGTGCATTGCATGGCTCTTTTTCATCAAATCATGGGCTTGAGGTCACGGAAGCCGTGGTGGTGATGATGATGACGATGGTAACAACTTCCCGACCATTCCTACCCTTGCTATGGTCTGCGAGACTCATCCCGGAGCAATGCTTGTTGTCAACAAGGTGTGAACCTTGCCAATGACATGCTTTGCCGTAATACTAGTCAGTAATGCCATACAACAAACCATCTAATCGATACAAGCAGTATCAAATCAAGCAATTAACTAATTGACTGGAAACTTCAGAGTTATGCATTAGCTGTTTGGGAAACACTTTCTCCTCACAAGCATCTCAAATTACACATACAGAAGGCCTTTCACAAATTCATATTATTAATACTGGGGAAGGAAGGTCGTTGCGCTGGGGGGCTGCCAGCTGGGCTTCCAGTTTTGCAGGAGCTGATGCTTTGATTCTAGAAGGTCTGGTTCTCAATGGTCAGAAAAAGTAGTTGGGAGTTTGGGAGTCTAGTCGTCCGTTCTATGTTGTTCGAAGACCCTGACACTGACATGAGCCAACAACCATTATCGTGTGTGTTTGGTTTGGTCGATTTGTAGTTGGACTTAGACTTTGACAAAAGTTCACCTGCAGGTGAAAAAAGCCATGCGCAGCAGCACCGCATCGAAGGCAGCGAAGGCGAATGTTGTTGATTGAGATTCAGCCGCCATGGACCAGATTTTGTCGGAAGTTGCCCGGGTCGTCTTTGCAATCTTCGATCCCGCTTTCATGGAGTGCAGTGTGTGCTTGGTTTCCTTGAAACAGCAGCTGGGCCTCACTTCGTTGAGCGACTTGGACAGCAGCATTCACCAGATTCCGAGCATTGCCTCTTACAAGTCGAAGATGAAAGCGATCGTCAGCAGCTTTTGGGGAATGTGAATCCAATGTGCTGAGCTTTTTGCCCCACAGGTCAATTTACACCCTTGCTGGACTGCAAGCAGCCGCTGAAGAGCTGAGCAGTGACAACCGCGACAAGCTCAAACCCTCTTCAGCAATGTCAAAGGCTGCCGCTCTGATTTCTCAAGGGGTTGGCGTACTTCGGCAAATGGTAGCTCAGGTGTCTGCCGCTGACCTCGAGTTTGCTAACGACCATTCCTGGGTTTTAGCCGCGGAATCTGACAAGTCAAACCACTTGAATCTATGGGTGCCTTGGAACCAGGAGTGACAGATGGCAAGTGATAAGTGATAATCAAGATGATATATACTATATCTATATATAAAAGCATTATTGTGTAATTTGTCTAATAAATAGTATTGGTATGTTGGTATGTTTGTTTGAGGATTTGAGGATGGAGCCCATGTTGAACCTTTTTGTCGTGGACTCAAGGACTTGACCTGTGCTCTTCTAATTGTCGTAGAATTAAGTCTGTAGTTGGCTCCACGGGACTCTACGGGCTTTTGTTAAACACTGTGGGTTTCCATGGCCCAGGTCTCTATGTGGTGCAAGATGTTGAATTCCATTGCTGGCCTTGACAAGCATTGCCTTGTAGAGAGGACAGCTGAGGATTGGGAACGGGCCAAGACGCAAGACATGGCCAAGATCAAGACTCGATCCATGAAGGTCATTAGCCATGACATTGCCAAAGCATTTGCTTCTGCTGAGGATGCCCCGAATTTGGAGTCACTGACCTCTCGCCTCCCAGAGGACATCGTGAGTCTCTTGAAGGCTGTCATCGATGATGCTAGCAAACTCAACCAGGAGGCAAGCCCTGGGGCCAAAGCCCTTCATCTTGGCACTGAAATTGAAAAGAGGTTCAAGAAGAAGGACAGCGTTGTCTGCCTACTGGCTGAAATCAACCTTCAACGGGAGCAAGCGCAGGAGTCGATCCACTGGCAGCAATGGACTGAATCAATCCAAAGCCTTTTGGATTCGTGCCTAGACAAGAACCCAAGTGAGGTGAAAGATGAGGAAATGCTCTCTGTCGATGTGGTTGGTGGTGCTGGCAAATTGGAGCTTCCACAAATGTGCGCTGATGGCAGCAAGTGTCATTGGGAAGCTCAGGGGGCCGCATCCCTGGCTACTTGGGCTCTTCTTGGTCACTGCGGCAGCCCAGCTAGTGGGGGAGAGGATAAATTCTTCTCAATCTCAGGCCTGGAGGATTTTGGTGACTCCTGCACGACCATTGCCTTCGTTCAAAAGAAGAAGCTTGTGATGGGAGTTTCTTCTGGCGCAGACATTGACTCTTTGGACCGTTTCCAGCTTTCCTTCATTGGGCGCTTTGTGCCGGTTCCTCATGGGCAGCCTGCTACGTTCATGAATCGGCGACTACGTGTCAAGTCACTTGACTTGACGCAACATTTTCGACGACCCTAACAAAGGTGTATTCAGTTCGTCCGATTTGTGTGGTGTGTCTGGTTTTGGTTGGTCTATTTCTTGCACACAAAACTTCAGGTCCGAATACTTTGCCAACTTGGGATATGACCTGTTCATTGTGCCCATTGCCCCCCAGCAGACCGTGGATCTAGCGGTGAAGTCTCCGATGTGTTGCTCGGCTTGGCTCGTGCGAACCGTGAAAGAAGAGAAGGCTCAAAACCTGGACATTTGCTATCATTCGATGGTTTTGAACTTTGCTGGTATTGAGATTGACCTGGCAATCCCGAGTCTACGTGTTCGTAAAGGTGTGAAGAGGGAATTCAAGGATGCACTTGCCAAGGCTACCTCTAAGGCAAAGGATGGTGGCCAGGCTGAGACTGGAACAGGTCAAGACGCACTTGTTTCATTTGTTTTGGGACGAGGCCTAACTGATGATGAACTTGCTGTTGTTGCTGAAAAAGAAAGGGTTTCCAAAAAGAAACAAAATGAAAAGAAAAAGAGAGCCGAAGCTCTCCAGGCAATTGAAGACTTTGACATCACTGATACAATTGCCGACCGACAGGTTCCGATTGCTCCATCACTTTTCCGTCACATAATGAAGTGACGGTGTGGTGCTTTTTCTGATACTTGCCATGGATTGAGCTCATGCAACTATTGGGTGGGTTCGGATCGTACCTTTTTGACCCATTTGGATCAATAGGCAGTAAAGGCAGTGAAGGCATTTTCATGTATAATTGTTGTTCGTATTGAGTCTCAATCTCAAGACTTGAGTCTTGCAGTGGCAAAAAGCCACTACTCGCTTATAATTCATAATCATTATGGGTGGCTCGGTTGCAGTGCGAAGGGAGGAGTGCCAGTGCCGCTAAAGGATGAACATGGGACCTCTAGTAAAAACGGCAAGGACACTCCATTGCCTGCGGCCTTTCTGCCCTCGCTGGGTTTTGGCATCGCAACTTTTCCATTAGGTCGTCCATAGAGTCCATAGTTAAACGGCAGTGGAAGAGATGTTGCGTTGCGCTAATCTAGATGAATCTAGATGTTGAGGTCAATGACTTCAGCAACCTTGCTCGGCTTAAATGGCCACAACTCTGCAATGTCATGTTGAGTGCTTTGCTGAGCTAGGTCGGCTGGATTAGAGAAAAGAGTGCTTTTTGCGCAGCTGTTCTTTCAAACATGTTTTGGTGAAGCGAGCTTTCGCCAAGTGACCGTAAGGAGCCTTCACCTATCTAGTGTGTTGGGTTGGTGGGGTGTAGTGGGCTCGCCACAGCTTCCGTCAAGTCGGGGCTTCTGTGGACGGAAACGCCACGAGTAGGTGAGGGACCACAGTTCACATACACATTTCCACATCCCCAGTCTAGTTCCATCTCAGGAAATTGCTCGGGTCGAGATTGAAAAGGGCATGACCAAAGCAGACGCAATTGACATGGTGGCCACTTAATTGAACGATGTTTGTTTTAAAACATGTTTTCATTGGGTTCTCGAAGCCATGATGATTGTATTGTTTTTTATGGGATCAGTGGTCTTAGTATCGACTGAGGATTCTTTGAAGAAGGCGAGAATTGAGAAGAATAGCAGTACCGATACTGCCGATGGTGAAGCAGCTGATGACGGCGAGGGGGAGGCGGCAGACGCCGAAGACGAGGGAGGGGAAGAAGAAGACGAGGAAAATGACCAGGATGTGAGCTAACATCGTGCAGCAAACGCTGTCGATTTTGGGCTTGAAAAGCCTCGTTGTCCGAGAGCTGCTCACAGAACAGCTGAACAGCTGTTCTTGCGACTGACTCACAGACAGCTGACAACTGTCACTCCGAGAAAAACACCTGGCAGCCCCAGCTTTGAGCTTTTGATCCATAAACTAAGATCTTTTTGTCAATCTTCCAAAGGAAAAAACAATGTCGTTGGTGACAGTTTCCATGGCAATGCCACTGTCATAGTTTTTGCAGACCCAAACACAAACACAACAATTTTAGCAAGGAGTTCCGAAAGAGTGCGAACGTAATAAGCCGAACAGGGTAGACTATTAAAGAATCACCCCGTGTGGGTGGTCAAGCGTTCGATACCACCTTTCATATTTACAAGTAGAAATAGTTCTAGGCAACGAAAGGTGGCTGCAGCCCCGTCGCTTTCAGTTCCGAAAACATAAGTCGCCTTGATTGACAAGGCCCTCGACTTTAGAAGAACAACAAGAGATCGCATGAGGTGGAATTTACTTGGGTTTCACGCTCTCAAAAAAATCAATACCACGACATGCTGACAATTGTTTCAATTTTTCTTGGAATCTGCTATTAGTCACCATCATCAATTCCAAGGTTTGTTGTGTTTTTTCTCTCTCCTTCTCTATCTGACTTTTGTCTCCCCATATGCTATATATGTATACAGATATATATTCTGGTGTAAACGTGAATCCTATAGGAACGAGAACCCGGCTCAAGACCAGCCAAGTTGGAAGGTTCAAAGGTGGAAGCGTCTACCATTTGACAGAACTATGGCATGCCATGGGTTCAACGTAATCGCCAGTCTACTGGCTGGTCACTGCAACATCGACTGTCATGGCGTGCAAAGAGGCATGAAATTTGGTAGAGCGGAGCTCTAGTCAACATGCTATCCTCTGGTAGCATGCCTATGAATGCAGGCCTGGTTGTGTTTTGAAGGCCCAGATATAAGGAAAAAATCCTTTTCAACTTCTACGATGACAAGTATGGATTTGAGCCGCTCGGCTCTA